TTTCCCTTCTTTTAGCCGATTCTTTCGCAGTTCCTTTCTCAGAGAGCTTTTGAAATTTACAAAATCTTGCAAAAATGCGAGCAAAAATGAAATATATTTGCAAGAAATTTATCAATCATCAAATCAACTCAAGAAATGTTTGCTATTTCGCTGTCGTCATGCAGTCGTTATGATGCAAACTTTAAATTGGACCAATCAGTGTCCGCTATTCGTGAGAGTCCGCCATATTTTTGAGATCAGTGAGGATGACCACCCACCCAACACCGTTGGTGCCCCACGCCCGCAATATTTGATGAACTTTAGACTTCGCTAATGCTTTCGTTTCCCCGGGTGTAAATAGCCGGGGGGAATGATTGGAAAATCCAAGATGGCCGCCAACTAAGAGTGTCCACAAAATTTAAGTGCTTAGAGCGGCTTAAAAATGCGTTTAGTCTTTGAAATTTTTCCTTCTTTTTGCTACCGACGTACTCGAAATCAGATTCTTCAGCTTTTATTATATGGGAACTATGTAGTTGCTGTTCTTCCAACTGGGTTTGGTAAATATCGTTCGTTCGCTAAACAAAATTGTCAAAATTAACAGCCAAAATATAATAGTATTACGACATATGTTCTCCAGCTGGACAGGCTTGCCTATGGCAGCGTATACACTGTACCGTTTTCGTAGCGTTCTCGTATTGTTCTTAATCCTCAAGGGAACGCAAGACAATAGTCTAGTTCTGTCGAACAATACGAGAACGCTACGAAAACGGTACAGTGTAAACGCTGCCTAAGAGGACACGGAAAGTGTTTTGAACTGGGGATGTTAAACTTGGTTTTACCCTTCCAAAGACTCTGCTGTGCGACGATTGGAGCGAGTTTATGAGGAATATTTTATACAGTGATTCAAAGAAATGTTTTTGCATATACTGTATATGTTATTGTCTATTGTTGAATGTCACTTATATTATAAAGTGCCAATGGTTGGAATATTTATTCATTGATATTTTAAACACAGATGAAGTGTTATATGCTCTTTCCTTGTTTACGTTTTCCTTGCCGCCAAATATTGATGAAGCTGGCAAGCTGCAAAACTGACATATGAGTGATATGACCCAAATATTGGATATGCATCTTAGTTTGCTTCCAGTAAAATGTAAACAAGACCTTAAGAATTCTATACGAGATAAGAAATATTCCGTTTAAAATCATGACTGGCAAATTAGCATGTGCGAATTGATGCTTCCTAATATTTAATAGTATGTACTCCAGTAAAGCTTGCTTGCTTCAATTCTTGCTGTTACCACTGCACATCATCAGGGTGGAGAGTTGATTTGAATTTTTTGTCCCAGGGGATAAAGGTAGGGAATAGATTTTCCATCACAAAAGGGGCAAGGTGCCCAACCAGTTAGAAGATGGCATGTACTTTAAGTGACCATTCATTATACCCTAGGGTGGGGTGGGAGATTCTTATGTCAAAATGTCATGGGA